CGCAGCGCCCCCTGGCGGCGGGAGGAGGCCACCGCGCCCCGCGCTCAAACCCGCCCCCGCCTTCACCGACTCCAGCCCCCGTCAGCGGCCCGGTTTATTGACCGTATTTATTTATTACGGCTTCTGTAAGCGAGGTGGAGACCCCGAGGGCCGGTCGCGTCTGCAGCACGCCGGGACACTCCGAGAAAGGCCCCGCATGCAGCCACAAACCAGCCCCGCCCCCTGGAAGGAGGAGGTTTCTGCGCTTGTCTCCAGTCTCACAAATAAACTATGAAATAAATCATTTTAAATAGGTCCCTAGGACCTGCCTACCGCCAGGAGCAGATGTGCGTACAGAATAAGCCCACGACGATGCAGCGGTTCCACACTGAGGGCTGGCAGAAGAGGCACTTCGAACCAAACCAGCAGCAAAAGCTCTTTAACTGGTTTAGTTAAACCAAATTCCAAACAGTTGAGAATATTAAATAGTGTGTTTATTACTCCTAGTATTTAGCCGTATCTTACAACAGATACAGTCCTTTATTACAATCCCTCAATGCTGAGACGGAAGGTCCGAGGCTGCCCCCTGAATGACGAAGGGGAGCTTTTCGATTTCAGTCTTAACAGTTGGAGCGAGGAGCGAGAAGGGAAGAAGGGTCACGCCTGACCTGGAGACGTGCTCTGACCGGAAAAGCTGGGCTTTACCCTTCGCTGGTAGTTTACGGCAGCACACTCTCGAGGCAGAAGTTACCGGAGGTTGTTCTCAGCTGGGGCCGGAGCCTGCAGCTCTCTGCGAGAAGGCACGGGGTGCGTCCGCTGCTTTCCCTCAGCCCATCCGCGTCCTCCCTTCTCTGAGGCAAACGGTCTCCGAGGTTGAATATAGTATTCTCATTTTTTTTTCATTTCTTCGTAGATTCTGGAGGATTATGCATTTCCTCTCAAGCAGTGAGCCTGGAAGGAGCGCTGAAGATCAGAGGCAGCAGGACGGAGGGAAACCCAGCCGACACCAGATCCCTGCTTTCGTCTTGATCCACGGAGAAACTCGATTCAGTGTCACAGTCTGCAAGATGCCTGGGACACTTTGGAGTTGGTTCGTCTGTTGAGAGCGTTGCAAATAAACGTGCCCGTGTCCATCAGCTTCTGCAGATCCACACCCTTCACGGGAAAAAAAAGATACAACACGCATTGGTACCGGTTCTGCCACGTAAAGCTGCCCAGTAACAACTGGGATCACTGGGAGAGACGAGCAGGGGGTGAGGGAGCCTGAAGGGTACTTCAAGGAGGCCCCGAGTGCCTGCTGCTCACTCCTGCGGTTCGGACAGCGAGGGTTAAACCGCAGAGCGCTGGAAAAGGGAGAGCAGGAAATGTTCCCAGCAGGTGGGGGTGGGATTGGCAAGACAAGGCCCTCGGGCACAGCCTGGGCGACCCGCGGGCACAGCCTGGGCGACCCGCGGGCACAGCCTGGGCGACCCTGGCAGCCACGCTCGGGCTCCCTAGGCCACGTTTTGAACCCCCGCCGAAGCCTGAACAGAGCCATCCCATGAGAGGCTCAGCTGCTGCAGGCAAAGGCTGCTGGCGCTTACCGTGTGGATCCCCAGGCCGTTCAGCATGTACACCAAGTCCTCCGTAGCAACGTTTCCTGAAGCTCCCTGGGCGTAGGGGCAGCCTCCAAGGCCAGCGACGGAAGCATCAACCACGCTCACACCCATCTACAAACAAAACCACTATCGGTAAACTCCACTTAAGGGACAAATGGTGGCCCTGCTCCTCAAATCTACGGTTCACAAGCAAGCACAAAAAGCCTCGAGGAAGGACGCTCTACTGCAAAGAAAGAATCTTACCTGAAGCGCTACCAAGATGTTGGCAAGAGCTTGCCCGTAGGTGTCATGGCAGTGAACGGCAAGGGCCCCAACCGGCACCTCTTTCATGACTGCAGTCAGCATCTCCTTCATGCTCCCCGGGGTCCCAATGCCAATGGTGTCACCGAGGGAAATCTCGTAGCATCCCATCGAGTACATCTTCTTTGAGACCTGTCCAAAAGCCGCGAGGCTTACTGAAAAGGCAGCTTCGTCATTCCCTTCCCCAGAGCTGGAGAGCCGCTGGACAGAGGAATCGGAGCGTGCTTCCCTGGAGCACAACAGCCATGGGGACAACAGCCCTTCTCCCTGAATTCCCCCATCAACAGGACTTCTCCCTGAATTCCCCCATCCATTTTGGCTAGATCCAGCCTTCCCTGTGGTGGCAGCTAGCTGTAACCTTCCCCAGTCTTCGGTTAAATGGTTTGAGACATCCTCCAGCCCCTGGTGCCCAATTCACATCCACAAAAGGGAGCCAAAAACCTCTCCAAAATTCTGGTTATATTTATGATGAACTCACCTCTGCAACTTTAGCTGCAGAAATCTTCCCTTCATAGGGACATCCAAGAACACAGGAAACATATCTATGGTTAAAACAAACAAACAAACAAACGCACTTTTAGCTAGAGAACTGAAGTGAGATTACACTGGCCAAATTAGTCAGGACCTGTGCTGCATCTTGCGTGCTCTATACAACGGAAGAATTAATTTCATACTCTAAAAATCAGCCCAGTGGACAAAGCTTACGTAATTAACTGTTCAACAATTACTTCTTCCATGGACGTGAAAAATTTGCCAAGACAAGAGTAGAGAGGACTGTTAGGAATGTCTGCCAAGAAGCTGGTATTATTTTGGGTTATTTGGTAAAGCTGAAGACTGAAGAATTACAGGAAGGGTGAATCCATCTGGAAGAGTGTAAACTGTCCCAAGCAGGACAGGCTTTGCACCAAGCCAGCATCTGAAACCGTGTCGGTGTGGTGGTGCTTCCAAATTAATGCTTCTCAACGCACTGAGCTCACATCTGCTTGTGCTCGTCCAGGTAGACAAACACCCCCCAAGAAAAGGTAAAGTTGAAAAGAAACCCCACTCCCCCGCGCTGCACGGGCTGGACTCCAAAGGGATAAATTCAAGCAGTCACAGCTCCCCGCACAGCCTGCTCGACGCTAAGTTCGCAGCAGGGACTCCTCACCCCCGGACAGGAATGCTGGCTGTTCTCGCTGCGGTCATCACTTCATCGAATCTCTCCAAACTCTCCTCTATCGAACAGTTGATGTTCTTCTTCGTGAAGAGCTCAGATGCTGCTCCAAAGATCGACACTTCTTTGGCCCCTGCTGCCACCTGCCAATAGAAAGCGTAAATTAAAGCGAGCTGATTTCTCTTGCAAGAGAAATGACGAGCACAACCATGACCACAGTTCTCTCCTTTTATAAAAAAATATATTTTTCCCAATTCTTCCCCAATTAACCCAATTCTTTCCTCAGCTTATTCTACAACAAAAACGTAATGACACATCCAAGTTTGTCTTCAAAGGAAGAGTAAAGTCACAGATGCAGCAGTAAAGCTTAGCAGCAAAGTAACACAGCAGAGAGCTGTGGGACAGGCGGATACGACTGAAAGCATCACTGTCAATTAAAACAGATTACTTTTTTTTTTAATAGTAGAAAATGTATCAAGGTACTTTCTATTACAAACAACAGGTTTCTGTTTCCCCAGCAAAATGATCCCTTGTAGAGGAACTACGAGATGAGACTGCTGCCTGCCAGAAGGAAAGACGCATTTCCCAGCCTCAACCACAGCTGAAATGTTCCTTCGCAGGCAACCCTGCGCGTGAGGCACTGAGAACATTCAGACGCTGCCGTCTCTTACCGCTGCCTGAAATCCTTTCAGATTAGGGGTCAGCACGGGATAACTAACACCAGGCAACTTGTTAATTCCTTGCATGACTTCGGTATGGTCAGCCATCTGCCAAGGAAACATGGAAAGGTTTCTAAGGGTGACAGCGTCCACTTCTGCACATCGTAAAATAATTTTTAAAATTTCTTTTTATAATGGGAACAGAAATACTTAGGGGTAAGAGAAATTGGCCTCTACAGAGCAAACAGCATTGCACCCTGTGAAGGATCAGAGTTCAGTCAGCCAGCCAAGCCAGCGCCGATGTGTGCACAACCAGCTGTGTGTACCTGAGTGTGCGTTTGCTTTCGCAGGGTCCAAAGGGAAGGGCTCGGATATTGCAAACGCTGTTATTTGGCTTTGCCGCTTCTTGCCCGGTTACAAGTCATGGTAACAAGGATTTTGGAGCAAGCGTAATCTTTTTGTTGGATCACTATCTATTCTTAAGCATTTTTATAACATACAATTGTAAATCCTGTTTGAATACTGACCTGAGGAACCCATCTGGGGGAAACAAAGCTGGTGGCCTCTATAACCTGAAGCCCCGTCTCTGACAGCATATTGATTAAATTGATTTTCACCGCTGTCGGTACAACGTTCTAAGAAGAAAAGAAAAACGACCTTCAGTTATTATTTCCACAATAAGCTTTTCCAGCACTGCAAAACCCCTCATCTTTCCACATCCAAAAGCGGATTTAAAAAAAAACAAACAACAAAGCCGTCGGTGGGGCACGACGGCACGTTACGGGTATTTGGTTCGAGAAACCCCGCAGCGAGGTGCTGAGGGCCGCGAAGGGCGGCGGGAGCCGGGCGGGAGCCCCGCGGGGGCCCAGGCCCTCCCGTACCTTCTCGTTCTGCAGCCCGTCGCGCGGCCCCACCTCC